GTTGCCCACTTGCCTCCTCACAACATCAATGAAAGTATGAACTATCGAACATATAACGCATTGTTGGATAACGAAGACACTCCGGTGTGAGACTATTATGTAACTCAAACGGCAAGTCTCTGCAGATTTGTACCCATTCTACGAACTAGCACCGAATAATGGTCCCGTAGCTAAGTGACACTATTATTACATATTGTCATCTGATAACTATTGATGGCTATTTCTTGTACATATGCTGCATAATTTCTGTTAAGAAATGATAGCTTTTGCTACATTATAGTTAATCTCACTCAGGGAAACTTATGAACTATGCTGAATTACTATTAAACATTGTCTTAGTACTGACAATACGATTTGCCATTTCAATGCCTCCCAGCCAATAGTCATATAATATCCAAAAGAGAAACTTTATATCAGTTAACTAAAATACCGTTATGGCATTAAACGTACAAGTATTATAAGCCGTGCATTTGGCAAAGTACTTAAAAACTTATTTAAAGATATAACAAGTTTGTTGGACGCTATATGGAGTACGTACTGTCATTTGGTTGAGATAATTGCTTATTAACATATTTAAGATTTAGTAAAGACTGTGTAGCTTGCGCAGCAGGTCTCTTACTAATCTAGTTTGATACATAAATATGTCTCGCCCTAAAATTTAGCAGAAAAGATTTACTTACAATACACGAATAGCCGAAGTCAACGGGACCGAAGCTTAAGTTCGGATTAACGAGGTTGACTATGTATATTAAATTTCGACTTATACTGTATCTACAATAAAAGCAAGTTGAATCAAGCAAATCTAGTATAATACAGTAATAATGGTTAAAGTTCGTTAGATGATCACGTTACACACGGATAACCGATAACAATAAACGATCAAATTTTTAAATTTTGGCAACGCAACAAAATTGTATCAATTCTTAAGCATTGTATCGAAATGAATAGCTTTGATTTATCCTCAGGCCTTTCATCAGACTATGAGAAGCTTTACAAAAGTGGAAAATATACGGATGTCTCAATCCACATTGGACAAGAGCCAAATAACAAAATATTTCTTGCTCATACATTGGTATTATGCACCAGAAGTACATTTCTTGAGAATAGATTAACTGGGAATACTGAGACGTCTGAAGAGTCTCAAAAAGCTGCTATAACGGTTGAAGATGTGAAGCCTGACGTTTTCGAAATATTGCTCAGGTAAAATATCTCATAAAGTTGTGTGCAAGCTATACAATGCAATGCTCATTGTCCTAAATGATTCTGTAGGTTTATTTACACTGGGCAATTATCCTACGATTCATGTGAAAGTGTAGGTTGGATTAATCTCCTGGATGGAGCCAATAAGTTTGAACTACTTGATCTCCTTAGTGCAATTGAAACTTATTTGATTGAACAAGAAGAATGGATTCAACACAATATTCTTACAGTTCACAACCTTGCTGTATCCATAGCCTCTTTGAAGAAACTTCTGGCCTACTCTAATCGAATTATGGCTTCCCACCCAGAAATCATCTTTAAGTCGGATGACATTGCAACCTTACCCAAGGAGACTTTGGTCACTCTTCTCAAGGGTGATGAGCTTGGTATGGATGAAGATGATGTTTGGATATCTGTTATACAATGGGCCACTAAACAAGTGCCAGAACTAAAACTTGAAAATGATATAGATAATTGGTCATCTAATGACATCAACACAGTCAAAGATATCATTGCAGATTGTATACCTTATATACGATTTTTCAGTATTTCTCCTAAAACATTTGCTTTATATGATGATCTATTACCAAGAACATTGCGCCGTGACATACTTAAATATCATACAGATAAGGATTATAAACCAAACACTCACATGTTACCACCAAGAACAGGACAAGGATGTGAGATTGATTCACTTATCATTAACAAAGAGCAAGCACAATGGATCTCATCAAAGATTTTGGAATCAACAGGGCAGCTTCAAAAGACATCTATGAGGCAACATGTACATGATGTTCATAGATTTACTCTACTTTACAGACGGAGTAGAGATGGTAATACAGTAGCAAAATTTAGAGAATTATGTATTGGCAAGGGGCCCACAATTGCTGTTGGGAAAGTGTCAGGTGCTGAAGAAATACTTGGTGGATATAACCCACTTTCATTTTCTCAAAAAGGTTTTGCTGAAACCAACGAAAGTTTTATTATTGCATTAGATAAAAACATGGATAAGTGTATAGTAAGTTTTGTTGTTGATAGTTTACATGCCATTTCTGATAATCATAATTGTTTTCCTACCTTTGGGAATGGTTCTGATTTATATTTTGGTAGTAGTAATATTGGGTATGTCGGTAAACCTTATGCAAAAAAAGAAGCCTACCAATTTCCAATAAGATCTTCATCAGATTACTTTGAATGGGCTGATTGGGAAGTGTTTTTGGTTTCGAAACTTTGAGTTAAATTATGCCACTTTATAGCTATCAATTTTGTTGGGAAATTTTTATTGCATCTATTGATTGACGACTCATTTAATAAACTGTATACTTACAAGACGTTATGATACGGTTGCAGGGTAAGGTTCCCTTTTGCTGACATTGATAATGAACATTCAAAGCTAGTCGACATCAATTTTTGTTTAGACGAATTTTCACATCGCAGAAGAAGCTTTCGTCGTTTTTGTGCATAAGCGCATAACTGTTATTATTAGACATAATCAGCGATGGATTATGATTGTAATTTAGTTAAAAGAGACAATTCAGTAATTGGGTCGCTACCTAAGTACGGCGTAAATTAATGTAATTGAGCCAGCGGGACATTTCATAAACGACTTATAATTAATATACTATTTTTCAGAGTTTATTCTGACAATCTAATTCATACGATAACTTGCTTATGTTTTGATTATTGTTAGAATAGAGGTAAATGTCTTTCAACCATCGAAATATAAATTATGTCCAAATTTGGCATTGAAACTAATGTCAAGTTCGAAGCATTCTTGGAGAATCTATAACATTATTATTATAAACGGGTCAAAGTTTAGTCTTCGTTTAACCTGTCAAATTGCAATATTGTGTATTAGACAAATATCATATGCATCATACTGTAGTCATATTTACATTCTAACAGTCTATATTTACAGCTAACCATAATGATAAAACTTGCACCAACAATTTCAATGCAAATTACCGTGCGGTTAAATCAAAATCTACATTTACAATCTTCTCGTGCCAATATTTTCAATGCAAATTATCGTACGATTAGATTACGCAAATATCGAATACAATTTAACCAAAAGATTCTATCCAATAATTCAATACAGCTACATTGACAGTCTAACCGTAATTGCTAAAAAGTATGCCAATAATTTCGATGCAAATCATGATTACAAATTGAGTATTAGGTCTATCATACGCAAGCTGTGGTTACAATATGCTTTTGATCCTCCGATTTACGGCGTAACTTTGGACACAAATAGCCGCTCAACAATACTCACATCTGTTTTCGAGCAACTGACGTGGTTGCGCGAGCCATAGTATTCGAGCAAAGTGCAATCAACTCTTTTGTTTTACCCGAGTTAGCCCCTTATAACGTTCTTTACTATGCAGCGTAGTGGTGCTCATTGGTTGACTTGTAAAGCACAGATCCGTACGAAAAAATTTTTTATAAAGAGAGTTGACTGTATATTAGGATCGTGTAAACTAATAACCGGAAAGCCAATTATTCCGCAACAATCAATCAAAGCAACCCGTGAATCTTTTAACCAATAAGTTCTAGATTCATCGATAACATTGTTTGCAGGGTTGTTCTCAGTACATTAACAAGTCTTTATTTGGACTAAAATAATTTGATATGTCAAGCCATGTTTTTTTTTGTTACGATATTTGACAAACAATTACGTCAAAAAGGGGCAAGGGGTAACGCTGCTAGTAACGTGTTTTTGTACAGGTGAGATATCAATTTGCAATCTAAACAGCTTTAAGGAGGTTTTCTGTAGCTGCCAATAAAATCTTAAAAGATCGAAATACATAATATTTTATATCAACAAGTCAATACACAACTACATCTTGTCCTTTTTGGCATAATTAGTTTTGTCTGCTAATGTGTGTGTGGCACCTTGACACAGCCTGCAGTTGTCCTTTTTTTGGTACAATTAACCTTGTCTTACCCCCTTTTTTTTACGTACATGGACGCAATATCCATTTATGTTTACAGTTCACAGATTCTCGCGCTCCTTATTGCGTAGATAACGACATTTAATGTCGTCATCTAACACGCTATCATATATATATACCCCAGATGCTTCTCTCCATTGCACATGTATTATTTCACAACAATTCCATATTATTACGCACATACGACACTTTGCTACAACTCACAAACAAGTTTTTAAACAACAACTGGCATAACTGATACTATGTCACGCTTCACAACAACCTCTCCTCCTCTAAGTAGCCAAAATCCCAGCACTTTGGAGTATTATCAACTTCTAAAACACCAAACTATATATTATTGTCGGCTCCTGCTAAATTACTAGCTCCCTCCCCTGCTCCTATTAAATCAATGTGACGATACCGATTAAAACTAACAAGCAATTAGTCAAGTCGTCCGACTTTTGGCGGTGGATACTAGTAAAATTGGTGAATGGTATTTTGAAGCGTTATCATGAAGATGCCTCATATCCAATAGATGGATTTGCAATAAATTTCGGAAAGTGGGAGTCGGAACTAGCCAAGGATAAAAACGCAGTGGATTGTCATGGGCACCTTGGACGAGCGTATTTAGTTATCAAATTGGGAAGCGAAATCCCTTTTTGAAGGCAAAAGTGGTGTAACTGGTGGCATACTTGGAAGCCAGCCATTCAAGGCTGCCACAAAACTGGTGCTTTAAAACGATGAGCAAGACTCTGAAATGGACAAATATACATCAGTTTTCCCTCACACCCCAAACTCAGACTCACTAAAATCGTTACTCTTTGAGAAAACGCAGGGGAATAGATAATTCTATAAGAACTGAGTAGTGGAATGTCTACAGTCCACTTTATCAACGGAGGCAAAGAATACTCAGAAGCATTCCACAGATCTTCTAGCAAAGCATCATCTCTGAGTACCATCAATACTGACCCCCCATCTCCACAATTCAAAGTAGACAACAAAATGAGCAAATTGTCTACTAAATTCGATACTATCATCAAAAATACCACTGATATTTCTCTTATCAGCAATCCCACCTGCAACAATAATGCTGGGAATTTTTCAACCCCACCACCCACCACCACATCCATCACTGATAATTACTATGACGGTGATGTTTACATACCCCCGCTCTCGGCACCCAGCAAAACTTCTAAAGAAATCACAGAATATGCGTTTGCCTCATGAAAGAGATGATTGCATATGTCCGATTCTTCCTCTGAATACCCCCATCCCCAAGATTTTAGAAACAAAAATGACCGTAAAGATTCTTTCCTGAATCTATTCGAACTATGTAATAATAAAGATATCTCAATGTCCGATATTCTTTCGAAGCCGGATTCTTAGGCTTTTGTAAGAAATCAACTGCTGCTTGGGCGCAAAATACCACTGAACAAAACTTCTTAAGAACCAGTAAAATTTATTATGAATTAGTAAACCTCGTCGTTGCTACTGTCTGCGAAATAGACGAAAATGATGATCGATGGAATGCAAGTCTAGTGAAGGCATGCATGTTATGGAGTAGATTGAGCAATTGAAGTGGCCAAGAAATTTGATGAAACCAAATTATTGACTGATGGGTTTAAACTGGCGAAGGCAATGCACGATATCTTCGTATGCTTAAGTAAACAAGCCCATTTCGGAGAAATGAAAGTAAGACAATTGCGAATCGCTGGCATGCTTCACATGGGTAAATAAAATAAGGAGTTTGCAGTTCCTAGTAATTTGTCGAAATAAACTGACTGATTTAATTTGAGTAGGCCTCAAATTGCAAGTTTTACAAATGAGTAGTCCTAAGAAATAAGCGAACTTTTTACTACTGAGATATGGTATGTGACGATATTAAAACGGGAGAAACTCCTTGATGTGCCGGCTACAGTTGAAAGAATAAAAGATCTTATCAGGCTAATGTGTGGAGAATAAAGGTATAATTTATTTCCGTATTTATCAATTTCATCAGAGAAATATACTATTGCTCATTACCTTCTATTTACAATAGAAAATGATCATGGGTTGTGTGGAGACAGTGAACACGAGAACCAAAGATCAAACAGATTTTTTGCGACGAATTTTAGTGACGTATTCCGATGGTAACGCAAGGATTTCGATCAGCATGTGTGGCACTCCTAATAGTAAGACAAAAGCGATGACTTAGTAAGAAATCTAACAGCTGGAAGCACGAAGGTGATTACTAGTAAGAAATCTAACAACCAATAATCAAAGCTCAGAATAATGTTACTAAAAATAAGACAATTAGTAGCTCAGAAGTTATAAAAGCAGCGTAGGAGTCAGCTGGTTTTGGGGATGTTTTAAATGTCTTATATATAGTTCAAATATTATTATTATTTTCCGATTCCTTATTTTCTTATCAATAAACGAGTATCGCATTTACTCTGATTATAAACTATTTTTACGTATTTCCCTGACTTATTCAATATAATTTTAAAAACCACTAACCCCTATATCGGAAAAGGATAATCGATTCTTGTCCTTCGATTATCTGAGTAGCGAATTAAGGTATAATGCGTTAATAATTAGGTGTATTTTATAACGGACAGACTGTCGAAAGAATCTATCGGCAGATAGTCGTTACTAATTATCTCGAGAGCAATTGATTTAGTGTCACGATTCGGCAAACGGAAGTGCCGTCCGTCAGTGTAAAAGCCTAACGAAAGGTCACTAACTGTCAGTCTGGTGCTCTTGGTAGGAGGCCCTACGTACGCGCCGTTCGAAGAAAGTTAAATCCTTACGAGTCACGTGTCATTTCGCTCTCCCGTGACATTGGGCAATATTCAATATTTGTTGGAAATGCAAAATTAGTAAAATTAATAGTATGGACAATGTCAATAGTAAGCGGAGGAAAAACACAGATGATCTCCTTGATGAGGAATGATGTCTTGGTAAGCGCAATGAAAAAAATTGTAGCTTCAACCTGAGAATAGAACTACTTTATCTATAATACCCGATAATTGTATTGATTATTATAACTTTTTTATGTAATAGGGAGAAATATATAGAGAAATAAATCACACGCTCCTATATAAATTTGATCTTTCTTTCTGCATTTATTTTTTTGCTCATTTTTTTCGTAGTATGCCATGATTCAGGTGATGTTAATAACGACTAAATCGTTAATAATGGCTAACAAGTATTGATCTGCTAACAGGACAGTAGGAATTGCAATACATAGTATATCAGTGAATAGTTATGTATCTGCTAACAGGACAAGTAGGAATTGCAATACATAGTATATCAGTGAGTAGTTATGTATAATGTCTTACATTTTATGACCAGTTTTACATGTCGTAATTTTCTGCGTAGTACACGATCGGTAGTACAAACATTTCCAGGCTTCAAAGGAGCCAGCAGCGATTCAAATCATGCCATATGCATATTAATTTCGGATGCGACAGTAATAAAATTTTAACGCGGGCGTTCATTTCGGTTTAGCTTTGATATCGTACGGGCAGAGCGTCAAGATTTTAGACTTGACATTTAGATTAGTCAAATATTTCTCGAAAATGAAGACAGTTAATTAGTTATAAAACGATAGGAAGATATATAAGTGGCTATAGTTTCCAAGAAATCAACATCTTTAGCACAATTCCTTGCAAATAAATAGTTGTCTAATCTCATATTTGTAATCATAATTTTATTTTGTTTCCATTTTCTGATAAAAATATTTCTATCGCTGGTAAAGTGTATAACGCTTTCCCGTATCAACGGTAAAGAAGTCGAACTTGCCATCGATTTCGTAGAATTTCTGACAATAGGATTATTACTTAATAATGCGTTAGTGTAGAATTTATTCTCCAACTTATAAGCTTTCGAAACTAGTCCCATCGAGAGAAATAGACGTAATATTAAAGTTAGAAAATAATCTAATACAAAACCAATCTAACGTCGTTAAGGTCACTAATTGTCGCTTATAGATTTGAAAGAGTAAAGATAGTCAAGGCCTTGTTAAATCTCAAAGGTCGATATACAAACGCTTTCTCTCGTATGTTGATCCAACGCTGTATTTATTTATTGATGCAGTGCGTAGTTTGTATATTCTATATAGTTAGATAATGTTGTGAATAACACTTTATTTATTAAAAGTGAAATTTTTCTGTAGCATTGTCACAGTTTTATCTTGGCATCTAATGCCTGGTTTTTTTACTTTCTTTATTACTCTATTACTGTACTATAATTTAGTTTAATGTCATTGAAAGCAGTGTAGGTATTTGTTTGTGCGACGGATTCTTTGTTGTCGATAGATCTACAATAAAAGCATTGTTCTTAAGTAATGATAGTAAAGCAGAGAACTGTTGTCTTTGGCTTGATAATATGGTTTCTCCTCGAAAAGAAGCCAACAAGCAAAGCGTTGTAGCTAAAACTTACGCATTGTTAATTTGCTACCCAGATTGAATACTTGGTGTTGCTAGATAAAATGGTTACAATGACTACTATTGTAAAAATATAAAGATATTATTAAAAGCAGATGTTTATTTACCAAATAAAATGACAGTTATGCCAGGTGTGGTTAATTAATAATTCGGAACGACTTAAAAATTTATTCTAAAAAATTAAGCATTATTTTGCAAATTACTAAACTAATATCTATAATACTCATTTATGATTAATTAACACGCTTAGTTTTGTGAAACCAGAAGCTACTTTTTTTTTCAAACAACAACGTCCTGTGCACAAGATAAAACCAAATCAAGCTTTAATTCTCAATTACACAAGTACAAGAATGACATATCTAATGCATAGCAAATTTAGACCGTCTTTCTATGTCAGTTTAGAGTAGGCATTAGACCACTATTACATTGTCTCGTTCAGTCAAAAAGGGTTAGTCTTGGACGAAAACTAAATCCATTAAGTCCCGATGGTTTTCAACGTTTTTTTTTTCCCCTACTGAATTATTTGATCGCTAATTTTTTGTGCCAGTTAAAAAAAAATTTTTTTTAATTGTTCAATCTTTAATAACTTGTCTAAAGTAATTATGAGACTTCCGGACGAACCAACCCCCAAAATTAAGTGTCGTCCATTATTACCATAAAGAGCGTCAAAAAAAACAAAGTTTTTTCATATGATGTTGAATTCGACAGTACTGTGCCTGTTGTGCGTCTATACCTGTGTCATATTTGATAAGAGATACGTACGTATATGCATTTTAAAATGCAGGGAACAAATGGGTTAACAAAACAGCCGAATATCTTGGAATATTAATTGGATTGAAACAAGGTCTTTGCCTAATATGCATAAATTGGTCGATCTTTCTTATCATTCTAAGCATGCCAGTCTATAAATTGGAAATTGAAATACAAACGACAGATGTACGCCACGGTGATATTGGTTTCCTCTTGTATAACTGTGCCTTGCCTAACAATCGCTTGAATATAATACTTATACTAAAGACCGGTCACAAGTCATCCGGCCCGTGACGTTTTTACTCAAGTAAGATACAAGACATTATCGCTGTAATCTCCGACTTTTGTTAGACGCAGTTCAGTTAGCCAAGCTTGATGTTTGGGTGTACCGTTTTAAACTTACGTAGCACGGGTATAAACGATGATCACCACACCATTGATGCTGTAATATTAAATGTGTGACTGCCAGACTTTGCTCAACTAGTAGCAAAATAAGTCTGTATTATTTGTACAAGTGATAAGGGTCATAATTATCCATGGTATATATTATCGCTACTATTATTATTTGTTACACGATTAGTTGCAATAAACAATTTTGTAATATTTGTTGTCCTGATTTTATTAATACTAATGTCCTTATACGTTTATCCAGTATCGACATGGGCGACAGAGCACTGTAACAAACAATGTTGTAGCTTCCCAAGTACCTTATCTACAGTATCTATTCATTATGCATAAAGGGAATACCCACGGTGTCTGTATATCAGCATATGGACACACGGACGCACACGGAACAATAGTATTATCGTTTAACTTTTTCTAAGCTACTTTGTTTTAGCGGCACAAACATTTAAAGCAACTACTGTTAGTTGTCTCTTCAGACAGTCATAATAACTCGGTTGTTAATAATATTGTATCTATCACTTTATCCGATCGATAATTTTAGTTCCACAAGACACTTATAAATTGCTACGTCAAATATCAACAACACGAGTTTTCCTGTTGGCTATCACAAAGACATAGCGCAGTTATTAGAATTATATCGATATT